AAACTATAATCAATTTTAAATGTTGTTTTTTATTCCTTTTTATTATGTATAGGTTCTGTTAAAGTGAATTGTATATATTTTATGATTATGCTTTTATTTTACAATAATTTCAAATAAAAAAAATAAATATAATAATATTATATTACATTTTTTGTCTTTAAAATCGGGCAATTATTGAATTTTCCATAGAAGCTTTAAATACTTCGATAAATCAAGAAATAATATGGGATAAAATTAATACACATTTTTTTTTTACATTAAAGTTTATACTTGTGAACATGAGGTCCAGAAAAGACTTGAATACTCGCGAGCGTCTTTTTGAGTGATAAAATCTGATAAGTCTTGATCCTAATGAATACACTATAGTCATTGTCATAAATCCTTAAATACACGTAACCTAACCCTCTAGTTTTTTTGTCAAAACACCACTGTATATAATTAAACATATGTAGGCCCAGTGGCGTTATTTGGGCAGATGCCTATAGGCGCAAATAGAGGATTGCAATGGGGGAAGATCCTTCGAAAATAAAGTCCCTCGTTACAGTAGAAATAAAACAATATTTCCATATATATGTTTATGTATCTTGTTATTTTATTTATAAAATAAATTTAGTTGACAAATCTTATCTGTAGATAAGGCATACAGATACCTATCATACGTATTCAGTTTCGTATTAGTTTCGAACATTTTATGTAAGCGGTTTGATGAGGACAAATATGCAGATATTCTTAATTTTTTAAAGCAAGTAGATCAAAATACAGTCGAATTGCGATAACACAAAAAACTTGACAATTCGAATTGTGTTTTATTCTTCTATAAATTAGATATCTCGAATAATACATATATCGAAGTGAATTGTTATCCACCTTCAACTTCGAGTAATCGCGACTTGACTGAATAAGAAAAAGATATTTGATATCTGAATAATAGCACTCTTATTTTTTAAATAATATTATTATAGATGTTTAAGATTAGGATTAGATTATAATATTGTATTATACTAGCTGACCCGACAAACGTTGTTTTGTCATATAAATTATTTCTAGAAAATATTTTGCTAGAAAAAAAATAACTAATTTAATATAGGCATGCAAGGATGTGGATAAGGATAAGGATGTAAGGAAGAGGTATGGAGTGCTGTGAACGGTGACAAAATATAAAAATGAAAAAACATCAAATATTTATTTTTTTAATAATTTATTAAAATTTATCCTTTATTTTATATATATCGATAATTATGAAAATATTAGTAAAAAACAATATCAATCCCCTAATGCAACAGAGTATATATTTTTTATTATCCCATCTTTCGCCAACACAAACTGGATGGTTCGAAAGCACGCCACGTATAATTGTCCATGTGAAAAACATGATGTACTCAAATCTAAGCCACAGACATCGTTTGGCCTTGAGATTTATTGATACTCATTGCAAATGCCAATCTAATTGGAAATTGAAGGCGTTTAAATTGTATTGGCACATTTGTGGGTATAATAGGGATTCGCGACAATATTTTTTCACCTAAATATATATTTTAATATATTTAAAATGATGGCTTCGATAACATTTTTCATTAATTTTTTAATGAAAAATCGCATGCCGTTGCACAACCGTGGTGGATTCAAATTACGAAGCAAAATAACCGGAGATCCAACCTTCAATTGTAAATTATTCGGTGGCTTGCCTGGTAAAACCAAGGAGTTTAAAAACTCTATTAGACAATTTACAGCTTCAATAGCATCGCAAACTGTATCAATAGATTTGTATGACACCAAGTATCCTGGTAACAAATGTTGTATCTTGAGATTCAATTCGTTGACGTCCACCTTTTTTGCTGCTAAAATTGCTTTTTCTGTCAGCCACTCATGATTTGCGTATTTTCTGTGTACATTGGGAAATATCTGGTCAATGAGAGCATCTTGCGAATCAATGATTGTGCAGAAATCGGTCGATAATTTTATACATTCCGTTTTATCGGTAATAACTCCTATCACCGATATCTAACAATTATTTTAAGAATCTTTCACACTCAGCTTTTTTTGATTGAATCTCAAGTATCGTAATCGTTCGCTCATTATCTTTACATACATGTCAACCATGAATTGTTGACAAAGCTCATGACATCGTAGAATAACTTTGTCCTGATCGCGTCTAATCATCAACCGATATGCGTAATAATTCTTCGAACTAACATTCTTGTTTGTTTTGGTACCTGTTGCGGGATCTTGTTGTTTAATATTTATGCAATACCCGTCATTTAATACTAAAAATAAAATTAATAGTTTTTAATAGTTTTATTTAATAATTCAATTTCAATTGCGCAGTTATCGATCGGGTCAACAATTATTAAATTAAACTACTATGTATTAAACAATTGTATTTTTCCAAAATTTTTTTTCGTAAAAACCTTCTCCTGGCAATTACGAACAATTAAAAAAAATTTGAGCCAAATCGGCTCAGCCGTTCTCAATCGATAAAATGTTATACATTTTTGGTTCCATTTTTATATATATAGATTATGTTATTGTATATTTTATTTTGTTTGTGCATAAAAGACTGAATTTAAATCAAATATTAATTTGGAGGCTTTTTTCCGAGAACTTTTTTTTTCAATAGTGGCTTCTATGAAGTATAATATAGTGGAAATAGTTTCCAATAGTGGAATATGGTTGGAGAAATTAGGCAACCTTTATTTGTAAAGTCTAAATAACTGCGATGTTATAAGAACATGGATGATTCTTGATTACCAGTCATATGAAAATTTAATAAAAAATTATGATAACTGATATTATAGATAAATGTTATATTACTTTAATGGAGATATGGGATCTTAAAATAGAAATGTTCTATATTAAATAATGCTGCATGTCACCGACAAATTGAATTTTTTTTAGAACATAAATACATTTTTAAAACTTCTATTTTTTTCATATACTTCTTAACGTATTTGTTAATTTATTGGTTCCAACAATTTTTTTTTATGTGATGTGTTAAATGGAAAAACTTCTATAACATAATATAGAGAAATAAAACTATATTATGAGATAAATATAAAACATTTAAAATCTACTACTAAGTGCCAACTATTTGTTTTCTATTAATATATATTTATCAATTTACATTTTTACGAAAAGTCTAAAAATTTGGACATGGGGGCAAAAGCCCCCAAAAATTTAACGCAGACATTTCGCATTATTTTTCATAATAAACTTGATGCTGTAGGTCGTCACCCATGACTAAGTACATATAGTTCCTTATAAAATAATTGGATTTTGTAAATATATTATTAGATTTTTTTTTAAATATTTTAAACCATTAACATTTTTACTAGCATTATAATTTTTAATGACGTTGCAGAAATGTACAATTAAATTTTTATATAATATAAGGAAAAAAAAAATCATTAAAATCAAAACAAAGTAAAAGGTGGTATTAAATTCATTACTTGTATCAACTATTACTAAGAAATATAAAAAAAAAGATAATAAATCCATTGTTAAACAGAGTAAGCTCTTATAAAAAGTAATACCTCTACAATATTTGTGTTGAACATAATTTTATTATTTCTAACATTTTTATGAAATTAATTAATAGCACTGAAATATAAAAAAATAATTTTTACCTTAAATTATTTTGATCTGGAATAATATAATAGTATTAATACCTATTTAAAATAATAGAGGATTTCAGATACTGATAGTGAAAACTATTAAACAAATTATGATTATTAAAAACATTTTGCGTGAAATAATTTCTCTTAACTCTACCAATCAGTTTTAATACACTTTATAAAGAAAAACAATTATTATAGAAGTTTATGTTATGAATATAGTTTACAGAATTGTTAACAATCAGAATTACAATAAAAATATTATTTTGTATACAATTATAAATCAATATATTAAATTAAGTTTTAAGTTATAAAAAAGTAATGAAAAAAAATATATGGTTAATAAATAATACTGTAAGTATTTTAAATATTGTTTAAACAGTTCAAATGGAATTACTAATTAAATATAATAGGTACCTACCTAAAAGCAGTTATACTTTAAGTTAAATTCATATCTAATAAAAAGCTAGTTAAGGACTAGTTACAATAGTAATTTATGTATTAGGTACATTATAAAATAGGGTAAAAATTCAAAAATCATTAGAAATTATCATCATTGATTGAAGTATAACTTTATTTTTAAATTATAAATAATTACATAATAATTTTAGTATTATTAAAAATTCCTCTCATTTTCAAGTATAATAAGAAAAATACTTATAAGTCAATGTTATAGCCCTCAATAACTGTTTTTATGAATAAATATGAAATATAAATTATAATTTACCATTATAATTATAAATTTAAAAAATCACTACTTTAACGACAATATCATTGGTGTTGATAAAAGCTACAACGAATAAAAGAAGACATACAAATGTATATGATTAGTAATTATTGATTAGAACATTTTGTGTATAATTGAACATAAGACTCTCATTATGTTAAGATACTTATCAACAACTACTATAAAATTATATTTTATTAACTTTATAAACAGCAGAAGTAGTTGAGCAGTTCACTAAAAATTATTTCTTACACCTCTTTAAATATTTTTCTTTAAAATAAATTGTCAACTCAACATTGTAATAATTTTTAATTTAATATAATGGAATGTAGTATAATATAAAGGGATAAAATATTTGTCTTTCACATATTTCACTTTAAAATAATATTAATAAGCCAATTTTATTAATTAATACGAAAAAAATTTTAGAAAAATATACTTTTATGTAATTATTATTGGACCTTGAATAAAAACTTTTAAAATTTGATCGGGTTTTCAAAACAATTATCAAAAAAGGAATTCATTACATAAGCAAAAATTATTGATAAATATTTTCTAATAATGATGTCTAATGAAAATTAACCATGTTTAATAAATATTTTAAGATAAATTTTGTTTGATATATTTCATTATTATAAACTTAATATGAAGTGCAACTGTGATATAAATCATATATTGCAAGTGTTAATGATTTGTAAATAGATACAATGCTTTATTATAATATGTTGACTTTTTGGGAATAAAATATTGAATTATGTTATTAATAAAGTTAGACATAATGAAATTTTGTCTTAACTATAACCATCTACTTTTGCAGTGTAAATAAAAATTATATTGCACATATAAATAAATAATAATTATATTTAAAAAATGGACCTTTCCGTGTTTTTGTCTTTAAGGAGATGAATACTTGATTGCCGAAGCAGTGTAAGTATACGTAGTAGATTAGCAAGTAGATAATATTTATTTTGTTTTAACTCTACTTCTGTTGACCATCTGATCCAGATTTCTGTAAAAATAAATATAATTTTTTTTGAAATCAACACGTTTTCATCCTAATTAAACATTTAATATAATTTTATAATTTTGATATTAATTACGTGTAGTTTAAGGCTGGTGTATACTTGCAAAAAAAAAAAATAAACAAATAGAAAATAGTGAAACACAGACTCGCATATATAAATATATATATATATATATATATATATATATATAATATAATATAATATACATTATATAGATTAAATAATATGTTATAGGGCAAAAGAAGATTTTGAAAAACATTTATTCCCAGAAAGAACTGTTAAGTGTAAAAGTGCAAATTATATATTAAGAATAGTTTTTGAAAATACGTAAATGTTGTTTTTAACAAAAAAACTATATATATAACATAAATGATTAATAGTGTTTCTAATATATTTTTAATCTTATCAGTACTAATAGTAAGGATAAAATAAGTAATTATAATAATAAAATAAAAATAATCTATAGTATAAAAAATTATAATTACTCGATACTACAATAAGTATAATTTAAAATTAAAATTTTGCTTAAAAATAAATTTATTTTGATATTCATTATTCATCTACATTATTTCAATTTGCAATAATTATTTAACATACAATAAAAATTCAAAATTGTAATTAATCAAACACAAATTATATAAAAAAAAAAAAAAAAAATAATAATAATAATAATAATAATAATAATAATGATATAATAATATGTATATGGCGTTAAAAAAAATAAATAAACAAAATAATAAACATATATATATATATAAACATATATATATATATATATAAAAGTGTAAAATGTCCCACAGCCACAGCCTTGATAATATCTTTCCAGATAAATAAAATCAGGTAGAAGAGGAATTGTTCAGCCCTAAAGCACTGAATAGTTTTGTTTTCAGGCCGCCTTGTTTGCCCAACTCAGCCCCGCTCTGTCATAACAAATATAACCGACATTCTTTAACTTTTTCTCTTCTCACTCGTTACCTAGTCTTTAAAATCCTTGAGTCTTTAAAGGGTATGGTTTGTTTATGATTATTTAAAATGTTAACAAAGCATTCAAATATTACAAAAAGTGTTAGAAAATGTATCATGCATCTAAATTTATATTTAAGAACTTGACATGAAAAAATGTACATAAAATAACTTAGAAAAAAAAAAAAAAAACTATACTATAGTAAATATATTGCATGCATTCAATACTGTTATAAAAATAAAATGAATTAAAATATAATTATTGAAATAAATTTTATCACAAACCTCATCTAATTTTGTTCCAGTAGAACTGGTATCATACTCCAATGATTCTCTAGAACCAATTAAACGACTTGATCGATTACGCCTGTCATTACTATTTACACTACTAGTTGATCCACTAAGAATTTGGGCCACTTTGGCTTGTTTAACTATATCAAATGCCTACAGAATACAGAAAAAAATATGTATATTCATAAAACTGTTTAAAATTTTATTCCACAAATAATTTATAATAAAATTATATGAAAATTAGGTATAATTATGCTTTTCAAATATTAATGAATTGTTCCGAATTAATAGCATACAAATAAAAAATGGAAGTTCCTTTTTCAATTTTGTAATATATACCTCTTTTCTGGAACGTAATGCACAATCTTCAAGAGTTTCTGCAGCTTCATATTTTCCTTGTCTTCTATATAATGCTCCTAGATTCTTTAGAGTTGTAGTAACTGTTGGTGAATCTACTTTAGCAGCCTTGTGCCAACCACCATATTCTGTATATGGTGCAGTACCTGTACTTTTGTTTTTATTTTCTTCACGTTCTTCAGCCACTTGCCATATTGGTTTATTATCCCCTGTAACATTAGATTCCTTTTCCATTTAAAAAAAATATTTTCTTCAGTGACATTTGCAAAATTGTATTATTACCATAAACTTTTTATATTTTTTTAATAGTCAAATAATAGATATGTAATTCATGGTAGATTACAAAAATTAAAAAATAAAAACAATTGTTTTACTAATATAATATTAAATAAAATATATAAAATAAACATATATTTTCTGCAGATGCCACCGATCTATTAAGTAGATTTAAGTTTTTTAGTAAAGATTTTAAAAAGAATATTTAAAAATTTTAATAAATTAATAAATTTAAAACCGATCATTACAAAGTAGTATAATATTTTATACTTGAAACTAAAATATACTATAATAAACTATTTACTGATGAAATGTATGAATAAAATCTATGATAAAAAAAAACGTTATCACATAGTACATAGATCATGAGATAAATAGCTTGCTAATTCTACTACAAAAAAGTTTACACTTATGTTTTGCTTTTTTTCTTTTTCTTTTTTGAAATAATACATTGAAATACATCAATTTCAATTCAACAGAAAATTACGAAAATAAAAAATATTTAACTATAAGTTTTTATTATAATTAATCCCAAGTTAAAGATTACATAATAAAGATGTTCTATACTATTTTTATACTAAACTCAAATAAAATATTTAACATTTTTTAAATTATGAAATTTAAAATATATAGCAAATATTAAATAATATAAATATAATAGCTGAATTCTAAATTATAAAAAAATTAATTGCAGGAACATGCAAAATGTATCAACAACTAGTTACAAACAATTTACAAAAAAAAAAAAAAAACAAATAATCTAATAGGCAAACTTAAAAACATAAATAAGATAAGATAAATCATAAATACATTTCAAAAACTCAAAATATCAAATAATAATAATAATAATAATAATAATAATAATAATAATAATAATAATAATAATAATAATAATAATAA